TGGAACTCTTTCTTAGTAATTCTGCCTCCCCAGGATGTTCCCATTCACAGTCTACTCTATGATTAACCCAGTCTTTAAATCTGTTTCCAAAACTTATTCAGTATTTTACTTTTGAAGCAAAAAAATTATTGCTTTTGAAAGTTGGAATTTTTATTTTATTTTTTATTGATTTTTATTGAGTTCTACATTTTTCTCTGCTCCCCTCCTTGCCTCTCTCTTCCCTTACCAAAAAAAAAAACATATTGAAATTCTTATATAATGAACTCTAAGCTCTTAACTTTTAATTTTACCAAAAGGTACTGTATTGTCATCAAGAATAATAAAAGGCAAAGTTAACATTCATCAATCTAATTCCAGAATTTTATTTTTGAACCTCTTTGATTTGCAATTTATGGCTTGTGTGTTTTCTATAACTATGTAATTCTTATCAGTGTTACATCAAAATTCACCTGTGCCCAGAAACCTGAAAAAAAAAAAGAAACTTGGGATTTTAAATCACTATGTCATGAGACTTCACTTCAGCAGTTCCTTAAATACCAAGAACTGTATTAGATTTGCATGATTAACCCTAGCATCAACAGCAGGGCAGCAAATTCTGATTTGCAATTTATATCTGAATCTGAGCCTGTTGTATGTCTTAACATAATGTTGAACAGAATAACCTTGGGAAACAAAAAAATAATTATATATATTCCTGAACTTCATAACCTGAGACACATGGTCCTCAGTCCATCATTTCAACAATTGTTCATTGCCTTGACTTCCTGTCATCTTGGAATTTGGTTTATATGAACATAAAAACTCAATTGATCAAATAACAAAGCTTTGCATTGCCCTATAGAACTGTTTTTCTAATTTTCAAGGGATAAGTTGACAAAACTATGAAAAGTAGGAAATTATTTAAAATGTTGTGGGCAGAGCAATTTCATCCTTTGGTGATGTGAAGGATATAACATCTGTCTTCTGCAATTCTGCAAGTGATTCTACCTCACTCTTACATCTGCTATTGAAATCCACTGCAGGATTTTTAATTCTTGATGTATCCTTTAATTTCTTAAGAAATAGCACAAAATGGTATTATGTCTTGGGTTTTACATACACACACACACACACACACACACACACACACACACACATATATATATATATATATATAATATGGAGTTTTTGTGAATTAATGAATACTTGAATCAGGTATGTTACCAACTCATGATTAATGTGAGTTTCTTAATTCTCTCAAATTCTGAGAATTACTAATGTGCATATTAGTAATTTCTGTGATTTATTAGTAATTTATGCAATAATGTGCACATATGTTTCCCTGAATTTAAGAAATAAGGTTAATAAATATAATTAATAAATATAAATAAAAGAAACATAATAAATTAAGAAACATAAACCTAATAAATTAAACCATCATAAATATCACTTCTTTAATTTTGTCAACATCGTATCTTATTTAATATTCAAGAAGTCTTTTACTAAAACCATCAATAGTTTAAGAAACTATTGAAAGAAAGACTAAGTACCTGCATGACAAAGCATAAACTGATCTTTGAACTAATAGAATGCAGAAAACTAAGTGGTTTTTCTTAGTATTGAGTCTGCCTCATTAACAGATTGAGCCTTCCTCTTAGGTAGTAGCTCCTATCCTGGGTAAGAGCTACTGTATTGTGTAGGAGGAGCATACAGAATAACCACAAAGGAAATTTTGGGAACAAGTACAGCTGACATCTACCTGCACACTGGTCACAGCTGAAGTTAAAACCTTTATGTTCATCTTCAGGAAAACATTCCCTGACTCACAAAGCAGTAATTTCTTTGACTGGAATAATAAATACCATGTAGAAGCAACACAAATCACAATACTTTATTATGAGACAAAGGCACATGGAGTACACTGTGGTTAAGTAACTCCTAACATCTTAATTCACAGTTCACCTACTTTCCTAACCCTGCCTTCGTCTTGGCCTCTTAGGGGCCGCACATGTGACATGCTCTTCATGATTGCCATGAAAGTGCTGTGGAGCCCCAGAAAACTTTTGGGAAATCATAAGACATATTAGCAATATGCAGATTGTGTTTCTTGAAGAACTTTTGTATAAGTTACATCCAGTATTCACACTTTCTGATCCAATCCATATGACTCATTCAGCTAATTCCAGTCAACTGATAATTATTTTAGTGGCATGGTTTCAGAGTGGCCTTGTCGTACAGAAAAATGATATACAGTTTTGAAAGTGAATTTCAGACAGAGTACCGATGCTACATTTTGCATTATAATGTTGATTGCTCTCTATGAGTGATATCAGAAGAGTTTCAAGACAGATGATTAGTACCATTTTTTTCTCATTATTCCAAGAATCTCAGTCCTTCTTGTCTTCCCCTGTACTTCTAACAGATATACACAGATATGACTCTTCAAGGAAAAAGAACGTTAGCTCCTCCCTATCACAGACACCTTCCTCACAGCTGATATAATCACTGGGTTATGATCATTGCCACATGAAAAAAAAGAATTTTTTATGGAATCTGTATCCAGCTACTATGGTTAAAAACAATAGACAACTTTGTATGTTGAGACATGTATACTATAAAGCTGGGTATATTATTGTGATTTTAAGAGGAAGAAAAATTTCTTCTTCCTCTTTCCTTTTTCTTCTTTCTGGGACAAGAGTCCCAGATCCTTCGTCTGGCGAAGGACGGCGATGCAGTCGGAGGTCCACATTGGAGCACTGGATTGAGCCCCACGAGGTCCGGAGGGGGAGCGGAAGGAGGAGGAACATGAAAGACGAAATCAGTACTGTGAGGGATGCTAGCACCCACTGATACAAGGGAATGGATCTGATGAGAGTTTACCAGGGCCAGTCGGACTGGGACTGAACGAGGACGTGATCTAGCCAGATTCTCGGAATTTGGCCGGATTCTCTGACTGTGACTGGCCCGGGGTCTTTCTGAAAAGCCATTGACTATGACACTGGGACCTGTTTCCTCTGCATATGCTGTATTTTGGGGATCCAGTCTGTTTGGACGCTCGCCTTCCTGGACCTGGAGGGAGGGGGAGGGAGCTGGAGCTTCCCACAGGGCAGGAAACCCTGACTGCCCTGGGGGACGGAGGGGAAGGAGGGGGGGAGTGGGGGGAGTGGGAGGGTGTTGGGAGGGGGAGCGGAAATGGAAACTTTTATGATTTAATAAAATTTACTAAAAAAAAAATTTCTGTTCCTTATTGAAAAAGAATACTCAGTAAAGAATTAAATGGTGCATTATAAATATCTAACCATTCTTTTTCATATTCCTATAGGATGCTCAATTACAGCACAACATCACTTGCTCAACTATGTTCATAGCATCATTATTTGTAATGAACCTGGAAACAACCTGGATGCCCCTTAACTTAAGAATGGATAAAGAAAATGTGGTACATTTACACAATAGAATATTATCCAGTGATAAAAAATGACATCACTAATTTTTCAGGCAGATGAATGAATGAAACTAGAAAAACCTCATCCTGAGTGAGGCATTGAAGACCCAGGATGACAAACATGGTATGTACTCACTTATAAATGGATATTAGAGCTAAAGCAAAGTATTATCAGGCTGTAATCCACAGGTTCAGAGAAGCTAGATAATAATTAGGGACATGCATAGATCACTTTAGGAAGGTGAATTAAATAAGATCTCCTGAATAAACTGGGATAGGGGAAAGAAGATAGGGTATGGGAATAGGATGGTTGAGTTGGGGGAGGGATGGAGAAGTGTTGTAGGCTTCTCGTTCATTTTCCAGCAGCCCAGACATAAAATAACAACACAGAAACTGTATTAATCTGTATTAATTAAATCACTGTGTGACTTATCAGTTTATGCATATTTCTAGCTAGTTTTTTTTTTCAAGACAGGGTTTATCTGTAACTTTGGATTCTGTCCTGGAACTAGCTCTTATAGACGAGGCTGGCCTCAAGCTCACAAAGATCCACCTGTCTCTGCCTCCCAAGTGCTGGGATTAAAGGTGTGCACAACCACCGCCCAACCTCTAGCTAATTCTTATATTTTTTTCTTTTTTATTATTATTAATAACTTCCACCTCCTCCCCTCCTCCCATTTCTCTCCCCTTCCCTCACTCCCACTCCCGCTCGTTCTCCAGACCAAAGAGTAGTCAGGGTTCCCTACCCTACGGGAAGTCCAAGGTTCTCCCCATTCCCCCCAGGTCCAGGAAGGTGGGCATCCAAACAGACAAGGCTCTCTCAAAGCCTATCCATGCAGCAGTGTCAAAACCCAACGCCATTGTCCTTGGTTTCTCAGTCAGCCTCCACCATCAGACATATTCACAGAGTCTGGTTTGATCAGATGCTCCATCAGTCCAAGC